GGGGCTCTGAGCTCTGCCTGGATCCTTCCCTTCTCCAGGGGAACATTCCCGGGGCTCTGAGCTCTGCCTGGATCCTTCCCTTCTCCAGGGGAACATTCCCAGGGCTCGGAGCTCTGCCTGGATCCTTCCCTTCTCCAGGGGAACATTCCCAGCTCTCCCAGCCTGGCTCCAGAGCAGAGGGGCTCCATCCCACACCAGGACCTCTGTCCCCACCACACCTCCTAGCAAGCACCAAACCCCACATCCAAGACCATTTCCATGTTTTCCCACAGGAAGAGCAGGATCAGTTGTGTGCTCCCCACCTCTGCCAGCCCTGCTGATAACCACCCCAGGATTATTTTCCAGGAATTTTGCTCATGGATATCCCTCCCTCCTGGCTCCCAGTTTTTTGTTCCTGCTGTTGGCATGGAAGGGTTTTCGTTTTTTGGGCTTTTCCCCCTCAGCAGGACCTGCTCTGGCACCTCCACCCCGATCACGGGCCTGTTCCTGTCTTCCCAAGTCCTGCCCATGATTAATGCCCATTTGCAGGATGAATTCCCAGCTCCAGCTTGGGAGCAAACAGGCTGCCTGCAGTGGAATTATTTATTATGGAATTAAGCAGCCGTTTGTCACAGGAAAAGGCTTTGGAGCGTTCTGTTCCTGCTCCCAGCTCAGCCTCCCTCCCTGAGGGCTCTGGGAGTGGGAACCAGCAAAGCTCTGCCTGCACACACATCCCACCTGAGCAGCTACAACAATTCCTGTAGGAATATCCCAAAATATCCAGGAAAACCCCTCCCCACCACTCCAAAACCAGGGAATGCTTTTTGTGCAGAGGGGCAATCCAGAGGAGCTGTGGCTGCCCCATCCCTAAAAGTGTCCAAGGCCACTTGGAGGGGTTTGGAACAACCCAGGATCGTGGAAGGTGTCCCAGGCACCCAATTAAGGATGATCCTTAATTTCCCTTCCAGTCCAAGCCATTCCAGGGTTCTGTGACTCGCTGCCAGCCCAGCTCAGAGCTGCATTCCCGGATTAATGAGGGGGCAGATGGAGGCCAAAAGAAAAAAAGCTGTAAATAAATGCTTTGACTAATTCCACCCTCTAATAATCCTCCAATTACTTCCAAATTTCCAAAGGACCCAGATGGAGCCGGCTGTTTTCTAGAGCTCAACCATAAATTGCCTTGAAAAGAATCCCAGCCCTGTTATTTATCCCTTGATTCCCGAGCTTGGCCGCTGCCTGGGAAATCACGGCTCATTAATCAGCTTTTAACTGCCCCCCCTGCCCTGGGAGAGGCCTCAGAAGCAATTTTGGCACCCAAAGGTTCCCTGGGGATGCCAGAAATGTCACCTTCAGCCGTTGGAATGCAGTTTGCTGGACACAGGGACAGCGGGTGTCCT